GTGGCGGATGCAGGAGGGTGTGACGTGGCACGTGGGGCTGGTTGTTGGTGGACGTGGCGGATGCAGGAGGGTGTGACGTGGCACGTGGGGCTGTTTGGTGGACGTGGCGGATGCAGGAGGGTGTGATGTGGCGGATGCAGGAGGGTGTGACGTGGCATGTGGGGCTGTTTGGTGGATGTGGCGGATGCAGGAGGGTGTGACGTGGCGGAAGGTGAGGGTTGGGGATGACGTGGCGGATGCAGGTGGGTGTGACGTGGCGGAAGGTGAGTGTTGGGGATGACGTGGCTCTTTAAAAGGGTACATGTGTGCGGCGCATGACGGGGCGAGGCGTTTCATGTGGGTGGGGGGTGACGTGGCTCTTGGTGGGGTTGTGACGTTGCAAGTAGGGCGGGTTGTTGGCGGATGCAAAAGGCTGTGACGTGGCGGAATGTGAGGGTTGGGGCAGACATGGCGGTTTGGAATGGTACACAAGAGCGGCGCGTGACAAGGCGACGCGTGTCAGGTGGGTGGGGGGTGGCGTGGCATGGGGTGGGAGGGTGTGACGTGGCACGGGGGGCTGGTTGTTGGTGGACGTGGCGGATGTAGGAGGGTGTGACGTGGCGGATGCAGGAGGGTGTGACGTGGCGGATGCAGGAGGTGTGACGTGGCACGTGGGGCTGGTTGTTGGTGGACGTGGCGGATGCAGGAGGGTGTGACGTGGCGGATGCAGGAGGGTGTGACGTGGCACGTGGAGCTGTTTGGTGGACGTGGCGGATGCAGGAGGGTGGGATGTGGCGGATGCAGGAGGGTGTGACGTGGCACGTGGGGCTGTTTGGTGGATGTGGCGGATGCAGGAGGGTGTGACGTGGCGAAAAGGTGAGGGTTGGGGATGACGTGGCGGATGCAGGTGGGTGTGACGTGGCGGAAGGTGAGTGTTGGGGATGACGTGGCTGTTTAAAAGGCTACATGTGTGCGGCGCATGACGGGGCGAGGCGTTTCATGTGGGTTGGGGGTGACGTGGCTCTTGGTGGGGTTGTGACGTTACAAGTAGGGCGGGTTGTTGGCGGATGCAAAAGGCTGTGACGTGGCGGAATGTGAGGGTTGGGGCAGACATGGCGGTTTGGAATGGTACACGGGAGCGGCGCGTGACAAGGCGACGTGTGTCAGGTGGGTGGGGGGTGACGTGGCATGGGGTGGGAGGGTGTGACGTGGCATGGGGGGCTGGTTGTTGGTGGACGTGGCAGATGCAAGAGGGTGTGACGTGGAAAGTTCACACAGTCCTTCCTGTGGTCACGCGGCCACAGTCATAACTGATGGTTTCTCTCTCCCCATGTCGTGCTATATACCCCACACCCTTGCACAGAACAAAGCCTACTTAGTGTGCTCTCAGCTCCTGTTTTTGAACCCCCCGAAGAAAATCCAGTACTACCCTGCACCGGAGGAAGTGTTCGAGGCGTTTGCTGTCCACTTGTCTGTCGAAGGGCTTGAGTCACTGAAGCTACTGTGGTTGCACAACGACAAGTCAACCATCGGTGTCTTCAACCACCAGATGTCGTCAACCAGGTCAACAATAAGCAGCACCCGCAGGCCAGCTACGTACGCCGGCATGGGCCTCTCCGATTACGCCCATCTCGTGGATACCCTGCCCATTGAGCTACACCCAAAGAAGTGGTTCAACCACGAGGATCTTCTGGCCGAGTAAAGAGATGCTATGTGCGACTCGAACACACCATATCCCCATGCCTATATGTCAGGTGGCAGCTACAAATAATCGTGCGGTGTTCCTCACGATGACTCTCATCAGCCACTTGATTTCTCCGCACCCCCTTTCCAACCCGTATGCTCCCTCCAAAATGCAGAACAGTGGGCCCTCAACTGGCACTTTGACAAGGCCACCGGAACACCCTTCAGCAACCCCTTGTTTTCTTATGCATTCAAGCTCTCCTTCAAGAGGGGCGGGGTCGTGTTCACCAAGTTCAAGAGCCGCATGGTGGCATGGGGCCTGTTTTCGGTAAGGATGTAGATATGTGTCTGTACACCCATGCCTCATCCCCTAAACCCCTTGCCTGTACTTCATCTAAATCCCTGGTCGCTTAGGCGTTTGCAGTTACGTAGGGTGTGTCATCTTCACCGCTTTCAGTTGGCCCATATACCCGTAACCCCCCCCCATACTCCATCCACCCAACCCTACACCACATTGCAGATCGAGTGGCCCCTTCTGCAAGATAAGCGTCGCAAGCGAATTCCGGCCCAGCCGGAAAAAAACAGGTCGGACTACTTCGAGTGGTGTGACAAGGTCAAACAGATGATACAATTTGCCGTCGTGGAGCGGTGGATCCCACACGATCCGGCTCAGCGTGCGTTCGTCTTCCCGAACAAGTTCCTCATCGACGATGGCGACCTTGGAGATGTCATTCTTGCCCACCGGGCGATTGCAGGGCCCAGCATTGCGTAGGCTATTTGACCTGGTGCTAAAACTGCTGGTTATTAGAATGCTGAATAATGGTTGTTGTAACCCGGAATATTGAATGTAATTCTGAAATCCTCAATACCCAAAATAAATAAAAACCAAAATCCAGTTTTAAAAAAATTGGTACCGAAATTGCACCAAAACGGATTGCGCCCGAATGTCATCCGGAAAAGCTCGCGTGCCAATTTGAAACTTGACCCGAGCCAAACCTTGTCGCGAGATGTGTGTCGGAGCTCCTATCAAATGATTCCAACCGTCGGTCGAAATTGGGTCCGGATTTTTTTTCGCGAAGACAACCCCAATCAAAATTCGTCCAAACTTGGCATATGGTTTTTGTGATGGAACTTCTACCTTGGGCTCCAAATCGAACGAGACGTGGAGAAGCGGAGCATGCGAGTGCACCAACGGAAGTACCTGGAGGCTTTGGCTGCCAACCTTGGCTAGAGTGAAGGTCATGTGGCTACTCCCTTTCCTTCTAGGTTCAAGTGTGTGAACGGACCAGAGGAGGAGAGCGTTGGTGAAGAGGAGAGGTGTCGTTTTCACTCGTTGGTGGGCAGCCTCATGTATGCGGCGGTAAACACTCGGCCGGACGTGGTCTTTGCTACCTTGCAGCTGGCTAGGGTTGTGCAATGCCCTAATGAGGAGCAGGTAGCAGCTAGAATGAGGGTGGCCAAGTATCTTGGCCAAACACCGACCGTTGGGCTGCAATACTCGGCGGCGTCGCAAAGGCGCCAAAAGGGCGCGGATTGTGTAGAACCCGGGTGTTTGTTCCTCACCGCCTACTTGGATGCTTCATATGCATCTGAACCAGAGGACATGACAAGTGTTGGAGGGTTCATTTGCTGTGTTGGTGGAGGCTCAACTGCTTGGGAGAGCAAGAAGCAGGTGGACCAAGCATTGAGCTTGGTGGAGTCCGAGCACATGACACTCTTCCGCGCCATACGGGAGATTGTGTGGCAGCGGCGTTTGTTGGCTGAATTGGGGGAGGAGCAGCAAGGACCTACCCCACTTTACTGTGACAGCCAGGGTGCCATTGCACTAGCCAAGACACCTGTGTTGCACGGCCTCACCAAGCACATGAGGGTGAAGTGGCACTGGACGAGGAACATGGTGGCCGCGGGTGAAGTTGAATTGCGCTACGTGAAGACAACGGGGCAGCCGGCTGACATGATGACTAAGAGGCTGGTGGAGCAGCAGCATTGGAAGTGTTGCAAGCTATCTGGGATGGCTCTAAACTGAGAGAGCAACATATCCTAAGGCCAACAATCCGAGGGGGAATTTGTTGGTGCAACCCTACCGCTTGCACTCGGCTTGTTGTCCGTGTGCGTGCATGCATGTGTGTGCATGGAGTGGCATGGAGGCATGAGATGATATACATTTCATGCTTATAATAGTGTGTGTATAATGGGTCATGATGTTGAGTGTGTGTGTGTCGAGTCAATAGCGAGTTTTCGCTAGTCGCGTGTTACACGGTCATTTGTGTCTCGCGCGCAGTTTCTGTTTCGTCGTGTGTCCCGTGCGCTGTTTCTATTTTGTCGTGTGTCGAACGTTCGGCGTATCGCAGGTGTGTGCAGCAGACCCATCAAGAACTCAAGGATGAGTTTTTGTGATGAAGAACCCGAGCTCTGGTGTCAACATTCAAGTGATCGCGAAGCCCGCGAAAAGAGTACACCTCAAGATATTGAAGATAGTTACATTACTTAGTGTAGTGTAACATTTCACTTGGTGTAGGCCCTAGTAAAAGGTAGTTTCGAGACCCTTCGTGGTTGGGGATAGTGTGGTGCTGTTCCATATCATTGTACATCGGCTCTTGGGGTTTGTAGGAGCTAGGAGTCATTCCCAACTCGTAACTCTTCCTTACTCTTCCTATCTTGTGTTCTAAGACTATAGTGGCTGCCATAGTGCCATTCGTTCAAACCGGCGGTGTGTCGTCAATACTTGGTGAAATCATGCGATATAAATTGCCTATCGTAGGCGACGTTAAGACGCTCCAGATCCAAGTTGAATCAGGTCATTTAAAGCTGTGACCGGAACGCTATGAACGTTTAAAGCTGTTGTGCAGAAATCCGTCTGTGCACTCTATATTTCGTTTTAGGCACATTCAAGCCTATTGTGACTATAACATCATCTGACCAGCCCCTCGAAAGGGAGCAGTTCCGAGCTATCCATGCAGCGCGAATCCCGCTCTAGTCTCGTGTTCTCCAAAGTATGCAAACCGGTTCTTTCGGTTCATCAGCAGCCTCTACGATTCGGCGACGGGGGATGTCCTAAGTGGACTTTTCACGCTTGGTCGTAACTGGGCCGAGGATCCACGCCTAACAAACCCGCGCATCAAGCCGGTTCTTGCGTTGTGCACCAAAGGCAAATGCAGTGAGTGTGGCGCCGCGGGCTGGCTGTTTAATTTTCGAGAGGGGGAGGGAGGGAGGGGAGGGGAAGGGGGGAGGAAGAGGGGGAGGGGAAGTGGGGAGGGAGAGGGGTAGGGCCGACGACAGGCAGGTAGAATTCTCGGGGGAAGAGGAGAGCAAAGCGCGGCTTATTTTCCGACCATCTAATGAGACTTATCTTTTTTTCATTCTTCAGGCTTAGGTATTGCTCACCCTTATTCAGACGCAACCTTGATTTTTCCACAGGAAACCATTTTTTTGCCCTTCTATTCATCTCCCCTCCCCTCCCCCCCCCCCCTCCCCTCCCCTCCACTCCCCTCCCCTCCCCTCCCCTCCCCTTCCCGTTTTCGACCCCCAGAGTCATCATGGGCCATCACAGCAGTGAGCGCGGTGGAAATGGCGTGCGCGTTAGTCGCTGCCTCGACGCCCTCCATGGATCCCCCAAGCGCATATCACTACAGCAGGTGCGGTGTTGCTAACCAAGCACGGGCTTAACGAGAACAGCTACTTCGGCTGAATAACTATTCGTGCTTATACGCATGCAGCTTATACCACGTACACGTAGCTTTGCACCTAGCAGCAGCAGCAGCAACAGCAGCAGGTTTTGATTGCAGGCTCACCAGCAGGTGTTATGTTCGGGCAGATTTACCTCCCCCAACCAATAACCCAACCCCGCACGTGCTGGACTGCAGGAATAGAACCAGCAGCAGCTGTGCGGCGGGCGGGTGGTCGACCCACCCGCACCCCTTCCCCCTGCCGTCACCCACCCTTCCCACCCCCCAACCCTGTAGGTGCTACTGCAGGAACAGCAGCTGTTCTGTCAGCGGCTGCGCCACTCCCTTTCGCGTCACCCACCGTTCTCCTCTCCTTCTCTCAACCCCCAACCCAACCCCTCAGGTGCAAGACTGCAGGAATAGCACGAGCAACAGCTGTGCGGCGGGCGGGTGGTTGACCCACCCGCACCCCTTCCCCATGCCGTCACCCACCCCTCCTGCCTCTCCCCACCCACAACCCATCAGATTCTGGACTGCAGGAACGCAACGAGCAGCAGCTGTGCGGCGGGCGGGTGGCTGACAACAGCGCTGGACTACATGGTGGACGCCACGCTCACGTGGGGGGGGCTTGCGAGCGAGTCTGGGTACGCGTATACGCAGAAGGACGGCAAATGTGACAGGGGAAAGGTACAGCTGGGGGAGGTATGCCTCGGGGAGGTATGCCTGGGGAAGGTATGCTTGGGGGAAAGGACGCCGACGTGGCGGGGCTTGCCGCCAAGGCTGGTTACGCATACGCGCAGAAGGACGCCAAATGCAACAGGGGAAAGGTATTCTTGTGGCAGGTACACCGGGGGCAGGTATAATGCTTCATGATGGCGCGCATCTTTGTCGCGAGAGGCTCCTGTCCGTTCATTCCACAACGTCTTGCAGCAGGAGAGAGATGAGCTGTTCATGTCCATGTGCCCATGCCCGTGCCCATGCCTATGTGTCCATGTGCCTGTGCCCATGCCCATACCCATGCCCATGCGCCCACACGCTCCTGCCTCAGGCAACACAGACTCAGCCCACCATTGCATTCGTGCGAGGCTCCTACCCCTCCTTTCAGACCTACACAGATGTAATGGGAACACTGTTTTTAGCTTGAATCACAGATGTAAGGAGAGCAGTGGCTTGGTGCAATTCTTATCACGCTCTTACCCCTCCTTCCAGACGCACATATTATAAGTACGAGAAGCAGTTGTTAGGTGTGTGTTAACAAGACTCATGGGCTCTAACTCCTCCTTATGGTCTTACTCAGCAAGGTTTGCGGAGCAGTGTGTAGGTTGATTTTGAGTCAATGATTCAAGGGCTGACTGTTGAGCCGTGTTTTGAGTGGACTTAAAACTGTCCTACTCCTCACTTTTGAGTCGACTCAAAACGAGGCGACTTTTGAGTCGACTCAAAACGAGGTAACTTTTGAATCGACTTAAAACGAGGTACCTTTTGAGTCGACTCAAAACGAGGTGACTTTTGAGTCGATGATGCAAGGGCTGACTGTTGAGCCGTGTTTTGAGTGGACTCAAAACAGTCCTACTCCTCACCGGGGTGTGTGGAGCAGTGTTTAGGTTGTTTAGGAGTCGATGCAACGGCTGACTTTTGAGGTGCCTCAAAAGTCCTCCCTACTAACAAAGGTGTTCGGGGCAATGTGTAGGTTGGTTCTAGTTGACGCAATAGCGTCATACTCCCCTCTCCCAGTCCTCCTCACAGGCAGGCAAGAGGGGCGTTGTTTCAGATAATGTGTTGAGCGGTCAAAGCTTGTTCTAAATTGTGCTCATCCTTTCTTTTTTCCCTCCAACACTCCTTCCCTCCTCTCTTCCTCCACCTCTCCCTCCCCCCTCTCTCCCTCCACCTCTCCCTCTTTCCTCTCTCCCTCCACCTCTCCCTCTTTCCTCTCTCCCTCCACCTCTTCCTCTTCCCTCTCTCCCTCCACCTCTTTTTCTTTCCTCTCTCCCTCTACCTCTCCCCTTCCCCTTCCCCCGTGCACGCTTCCCTTCCGCCCTCTTCCCCAGGGCATATGCAGCGACGCAGGGTGTGCAGCGGCGGGGGTGGTGGATCACAGTGTGGTGGTGATGGGGTACAGCTTAACGTCATCGGAAGGCACCTACTGGATCCTCCGCAACTCCTGGGGGGGCACGTGGGGCATGCAGGTAGGGTATGCGTGGCTTTGTTGTTTCTTTGCAAGTCGTTTTTTATCATTTAGTTAAAATGACATGCAAGAGAAATAATATTAATAATAAAAGATAAATAAAAAACGCTATCCGCGTGCATTATCACTCTCTGTATACAGGGTTACATGGAAATGGCCTTTGAGGGAGGCGTTGGCATTTGTGGCATTCACTCAGTGCCGGCCCTCTACCCCATCATTAAGAGTTTGTTGACCCCCTCGTCTGTCTGCTTCTATGCATGCATGCGCACATATGGGGCACTGATGGGGTACATGTGGGGCAGTGATGGCGCACATGTGGGGCACTGATGGCGCACATGTGGGGCTCTGATGGCGCACATGTGGGGGCACTGATGGCGCACATGTGGGGCACTGATGGCGCACATGTGGGGCACTGATGGTGCACATGTGGGGCACTGATGGCGCACATGTGGGGCACTGATGGCGCACATGTGGGGCACTGATGGCGCACATGTGGGGCAGTGATGGCGCACATGTGGGGCAGTGATGGCGCACATGTGGGGCATTGATGGCGCACATGTGGGGCAGTGATGGCGCACAAGTAAGGAAGTTCTACGCGTGATGTTTGAGGCGCCTCGAAAATCACCTCAATGCAGTGTATACATGTGGGGTAGTGATGGATCGCAAGTGAGAAGTTCTACTCGTGCTCGTGCTCGTGCCTGCATTCTCTCTTTTGACGCGCCTCACAAGACCTCCCCTCCCTCTCCTTCTCCCCCCCACCACACTAGCGCCCAAGCCATGCTAGTCACCGCAGAACCCATGTGGGGGGGGCACGTGCGAGGAGGTGATGGATAGATTCTACACGTGCTCGTGCCTGGACCCGCTCTTCATTCCCGTTGCCGACAAGGGCGGCGCCTAGACGTGTGTGTTTGGTGAGTGGCGCCCACGCGTGTGTTTAATGAGTGGCGCCCACGCGTATGTGCTTTGGGAATATGAAGCTCACATTACTTTTTCACCATATGCCATGCATCATTATCTTCCCATCATACCCCATGACCTTAAACTGACCTCTCTTGCACCCCCCACCGCCCCTCCCTCCTCTTCCCGCCCCGCCTAATAAGAGCTCCCCTTGCGCCTCTTCCCCTTCCCCTGCACCTTTTCCCCTCCCCTAGCCCCTCTTCTCCTTCCCTCCCCCCACTCCCCCCTTGTACCTTTTCCCCTCCCCTTGCCCCTCGTCCCACTCACTCTCTGCCAGCTGGCATGTGCAGCCAAGGAACGACAGTCTCCAACTCCCCTTGCGCCTCTGTTTTTCCCCCTGCCCCCCCACCCCCCCCCCCCCCCCCCCCCCCCCCCCCCCCCTCCACTTGCCCTTGCCAGTCGACGTGTGCAGCCAGCAGGACGAAAACCCGTGTGCAGTCGGCACGTGCATCAACGACAAGGCGGGCGGCTTCTTTTGTCTCTGTCCACCGGGATTTGACCAGGGGTACCGCCCGAACGGTGCTCACACATGCGTCCCAAGTGAGTGTTCAAGCGGGCGGCTAATCTTGTCTTTTCTTACCCATGTTCTCACATGCGTCCTTATATGTGTTCAAGTGGACGGCTCCTCTTGTCCTTTTGCGATTCATGCTTCTTTTAGAACCATAGTTAATCACATCTATCCCATCCCATATATGCACCGCAAATCACATCCATCCCATACCATGTATGCACAGCTTACTCTGAAACATCACTACGTCTTCGTCCCTTTGAGTTCTTCTCACGTCTCAATCGCGTCTCCTCTTTCTCGCCCCTCCTCCTCTTTCTCACCTCTCCTACTCCCCCTTTTTTTCTTCCCGGTTGTTATTATTATTTATCTTCTTGTTTTCTTTGTTCTTGTAAAATTTTCTTCCTTGCCTCCCTAAATCTCTGCAGCCACCACTCCAAGCTACAGCGTCGTCTTCCCAACAGACATCAGTTGTCCGCTCGCCAACCCCGTTCCCCATCTCTAGCCTCTCCCATCTCTCCCCCCCTCCACCCCCCTCCCTGCAGCCTACAACCCCTCATACACCGTCATCTTCCCAATAGACATCAGCTGTCCGCTCGTCTACCAGCTCTATGGCCTCACAGAGGAGGCGTTTCTCGCTCAGAATCCCAACCTGGTGAGCTAGATGCTGAGAGTACCTTCACAGCTGGGAGGCTGATCTGGGAGGCTGATGTGGGAGGCTGGGAGAACGTTGCAAGTGTGATCTCTCCTTTCCTCCTGCGTGCTCGCACTGTCCCACCTGCTCGCCAGCTCCGCCCTGCGTCTCCCCCACTGAGCATGGAAGAGGACTTGCACGTGTGTTGTGATTCGACTCACACCCCCACCCGCTGAGTATAAAAGAGGACTTGATGAGTGACTGAGAGATACCCTCACCCACCGCACCCCACTTCACCACACCTCTCCCAACCCCATGCCTTCACCTTTTGAATCACAGGGAATGGGTCCTTGCAAGTCCATCCCGGCCAACATGGCAGTGAGCGTGGCGCCACCCCTCAAGGGGGCAGTGTACTGTGCGCTCTACTACTCGTGGACTGGTCACTGGCGTAACTCACACCAAACCCCAACCCACCCCACCCCACTCAACCCACAGGGCATGGACCAGTGCGAAACCATCCTTGCCAACACGGGAGTGAGCATGGCACCACCCTCAAGGGGGCAGTGTATTGTGCGCTCTACTACTCGTGGACGGAAAATGACACGTTTGAGAGCGTGGCGGACAGTTTCTGGCTCACAGTGGACGACTTTCTGACGCTCAACCCCGGAATCAATTGCACGGATTGCACCGCCTGGAACGCTCTGAGCGTGAACAAGCAGGTGAGATGTGGTGCATTGAAGTGTACTGCGGTGCTCGGTGGTTTGGCGGACTTGTTCTGGCTGGCAGTTGACGACTTTCTGACACTCAACCCCGGAATCAACTGCACGGATTACACCGCTTGGAACACTCCGACTATGAACCAGCAGGTGAGATGTGGTGCAGTGCGGTGCAGAGCGGTGCTTGATGGTGTGGCCGACAGTTTCTGGATTGCAGTAAAGGGCTTTCTGACGCTAAACTTGGGATCAACTGCCTGGAACGCTCCGACTGTGAATCAGCAGGTGAGATGCGGTGCAGTGCGGTGCTCTACGGTGTGGTGCATGCGTTTGGGCAGGCATTAGATCTGCCAGTGGGGTTCAACCTAGGGTTAACCGTGCACCTCGCTCACACCGGGGTTCACACCTGCCTAGGCAGCCCACGTGCATGGCATACAAATGTTGTTTTGAGACGCCTCAAAACAGCACTTTTAACTCATGGCAATGGGCGGCATTCCTGCCCAGGCTGTCCACATGCACGGCATGGTACACAGTTCGTGCCAGCGACACACGCAAGGGCAACATGCCTCGTCAAACCCCTTCTTATTCCGCTCCCTCGTCTTCTCTCTTCCCACCTCTCTCCTCACAGCTGTGTGTGGCGAAGGGCAGCGGGGGAGGGGACGTGCCCACGCTGCCCATGTGCACAACATGGTACACAGTACACTCGGGGGACACATGCGAGAGCATCATGAAGGATTTCGCTCTCAACCAAACCACCTTCTTCTCACTCAACCCGGGCGTGGGCTGCGACAGCCTCTTCGCGTCTGTTGGGGGCAGCAGCCTCGGCTGGAGTGGGGGTGGTGTGCAGGTGAGGGAATGGCAGCAGGTGAGGGGTGGGGAGGAGAAAATGGAGTTAATAATGTGATGTTTTTACGCCTTCTTCTTGATACGAGCTGGTTTTTTAGAATTCTCAAAAACCAGCAGGTGAGGGGTGGGGAGGAGAAAGTGGAGATAGTAATGTGATGTTTTGATGCCTTTTTCCAGCTCAACTCAGCACTGGGCTGCCACAGCCTTTTTGCGTCCCTTGGGGGCAGCAGCCTTGGCCGGGCTGGGGGTGGAGTGCAGGTGAGGGGTTGGATGGGGTGATGATGGGATGGGAAGGGGTGTGGTTTTCCCTGCCTTCTTCTCCCTCAACCCGGGTGTCGGCTGCGACAGCCTCTTCGCGTCTGTTGGGAGCAGCAGCCTCGACTAGAGTGGAGGTGGTGTGCAGGTGAGCGGTGGGGAGCATGTGAGGGGTGGGATGCAGGTGAGGGGATGGCGTGCTGGTGAGGGGTGGGATGCAGATGAGGGGATGGCGTGCTGGTGAGGGGTGGGATGCGGTAGTGAAGGAAGATCTGGCGCGTGTGGGATGCATACCTGGTGGATACCTCGAGCCCATCCACCCAATCTCTCCCCCCACTAAACCAGGTGTGTATTGAGTCGACTCAAAACACACTTGGCGCGTGCAGATGCATACTTGGGGAAAACCTCGGGCCCATCCACTAAAACGCACCCATCCATCCTTTCACTTGCTGGCTACACCAAAGGAAGCAAAAAGGAAACACCCTCCACGCCCACCCACCCATCCCCATGGGCCGTTGCAGGTGTGTGTGCATACATTCCCAGTGGAGAGATCGTGAGGTTAAGCACCGAGGTATCCACTAAGTAGGCATCCACACACACCTCGATCCCCAGGCTCGTCGACCCAGTCTCTCCCCCCACCCTCCACGCCCGCCCACCCATCCCCTTGGGCCATCGCAGGTGTGTAGGCATGCAACCTGGTGGTTACCCCCAGTCCGCTCAACCCATTCTCCTCTCCCTCAATGAAGCGCACTCACCCATCTCACCCTCCATGCCCACCCACCCATCCCTATGCGCCATCGCAGGTGTGTATAGATGCTTACCTGGTGTAAACCCCATGCTCGTGCTCCGCGCCCACCCACCCATCCCCATATGCCATCGCAGGTGTGTGTGGATGCATACCTGGTGGAAACCTCGGGCTCACCCACCCCTCGCTCCCTCCGTGAGCTCTTCTCCACTTCCCCACTCGTTCCCTCCACCCCATCCCTCTCCTTCCAATCCTCCTCTTCTTCCTCTTCTTTCTCCTCCTCTTCCTCCTCTCCCTTGTCTCTCTCAACACGAGGACTGCTCATCCCCTCTCCCTCCGCTCAACCAATGAGAGGACGCCAGCTGGCGGTGTCAAAGAAGCGGTGCCTGGCGTTTTACTCAGTGACGCGGGGGGAATTTTGTGCGCGCATCATATCGCTCAAGTTCCAGAACAGTACGAAGATGCTGGCCGACTTGAACAATGGATGTGTGCACCAATGATAGGCTATATGTGGGGCTCTCGCTTTGCACTCGAAGATAAACGTACGAGCTTTCAAGGCGCCTAAAAAAGTTGTACTTTGGAAGGTTGTGTACCTTAAAGCCAGGGTCTCAAGTAGAGCAAGTGCTTTGCAGTTGTGAGAAAAAGGGTTGGGCTGATTGGCTTACGAATCACGAACAAACGTCCTGCCAAAATTCAACTCGCCAAAGAACAAACACTTCGCAACACGAACCCTCACATTTTCGCGAAACCCTTACCCTCGATCGCAGGGGGTGTGCAAGACAGCCAAAGACGACGGAGTGGGTGTCGCACGCCAAACCCAGGTCTCGGTCAACTGTTTTGCGCAATCAACAACTGAGACACCCCTTACAAACACACTCACCAGCCGTAGACCTAATCAGACCTTACGTAGTCGAGACTGGTGCTGGTTCAAGGGCGACGACGAACAGATACCAGTGATTACCGAGGTACGTGAGTGATGGTAGAGACACGCATAGGCTCAGCGCGAATAGGAAAGGACCTGCACGAAAGCGACCAATGGCATTGAGCCCCACGTTCCCTCGCCCCTCACATCAGCGTGCGTACTGGGACTGCAAACGATATGGAGTGCATCGCACATGGCGACGTCCAACTGACAGGCGCCACACCCTGCAGTGTATGAGCGCAATCCGGTGTTGCGGATTAGATGCGAATTTCAGGCCAACAAAGCGTGAGGACTCACAATCCGAATACACATCAGCGGACGACTGCGAGAATGCAAACTCGCCCGCACCAGGGGAATGACATGGCAGGCTGCGCAACTCAAAAAAGCGCATTCCGACGGAAGTTACAGGGCAAAAATGCTCCCCCAGGAGCACACGCCAAACACTAGGCATCTACGCGGAATGCTAACTATCCTTCCCACGTCTGATCCAGGCCTCGATCAACCCCGCTCCCCCCATTTCCCTTCACCGCAGTACTCGCATACGGGTATGCGTCAATTTCGGAAAGACGGAAGGCAACAACGAAAACATATAGTATCCCCTTTGCACACGATAAGAGGTGCCTGTGAGCCAAATGCCCGTGGGCATTTGCTACAATGTGACAATGCGGGGTTATAAAAGAGGCTGCATGGCGCGAACGCCAAGGGAGCGGGTCCTAGGTAGACGGTAAGGGAGGCAACCCCTCCCGAAATGCTCCTCTTCCCTCCCGCGCCTCGCTGCTCCCCCGTTGTGCTTCTCCCTTGCTCCGATGCCCCGCTGATCCGATACTCTTATGCTCCCCAAAGCATCCCCCACGCTTCCACTCCGCCTTCCCCCACGCTTCCACTCCGCCTTCCCCCACGCTTCCACTCCGCCTTCCCCCACGCTTCCACTCCGCCTTCCCCCCCGCTTCCACTCCGCCTTCCCCTCCGCTTCCACTCCCCGCCCCCGCGCTTCACTTTCCGTCACCCACTGTTTCACTCCCCTTCCCCCACTGTGACACTCCCCCTTCCTACACTCTTCCACTCCCCTTCCCCCACGCCTCCAATGCAACATGCATTGCTGTTACACTCCGAATCCCCGACGGGTCAGCTCCCATTCCATGGACGGTTACACTCCCATTCTCCCATGCTTCCACTCCGCCTTCCCCCCACGCTCCCACTCCCCCTCCCCCACTGTTTCACTCCCGTTTCCACCATGCTCCCACTCCCCTTCCCACACTGTTTCACTCACCCTTCCCCCACTGTTTCACCCACCCTTCCCCTACTGTTTCACTCCCATTGTAGGACTGTTTCACTCCCATTGTAGGACTGTCCCATGCAGACCTGCACCCATGGTCCCATGCTCCCCTGCACCCATGGTCCCATGCTCCCCTTCACCCATGGTCCCATGCTCCCCTACACCCATGGTCCCATGCAGACCTGCACCCATGGTCCCATGCTCCCCTGCACCCATGGTCCCATGCTCCCCTGCACCCATGGTCCCATGCAGACCTGCACCCATGGTCCCATGCTCCCCTGCACCCATGGTCCCATGCTCCCCTGCACCCATGGTCTTATGCAGACCTGCACCCATGGTCCCATGCTCCCCTGCACCCATGGTCCCATGCTCCCCTGCACCCATGTTCCCATGCTCCCCTGCACCCATGGTCCCATGCAGACCTGCACCCATGGTCCCATGCTCCCCTGCACCCATGGTCCCATGCTCCCCTGCACCCATGGTCCCATGCTCCCCTGCACCCATGGTCCATGCTCCCCTGCACCCATGGTCCCATGCTCCTCTTCATCACGGACCACCATGTAATGTCAAATCTCAACCCCTCCTTATTGTGTCCCCAACTCACCCCATCTGCATTCCCACAGATTCCGTGCCCCACAGTTTGAACATGGATCGGAGAACTCGGCATAAGGGATTGTCTCTGGGCACACGGCTAACTGATGAATTGGAGAGTGATTCGGACAGCGACGATCGTGGACAGCCATGGAAGAACCGCAGATTAGTGGGTGGTGGCATGAGGAGGGGGCGGAGTCGAGCCAGCAGCCAGCTAGGCCATATCAAGCCTCTTCTGCGGCGCTCTCACACACCATCTGGCAAACCAACTGTACTGCTGGAAGCCAGCGAGTCGTGGTCCCTTGAAGAATTTGCCCGAATCTACCCCAAACAGAACAGTGTTCTCGAGAAGTGGGCTATAGAGGAGTTAGAACTGCCCCAAGAGAGCCAAGGCGATGTGGCCGACAACATACGAACGGTCCTGCGAGAGATGCCTCCCCATCAGGTCCTGCAATTGTCACGAATCGCAATGAGGGGGATGGTATACCCAAAGTCTTTGAACCGTAGATCTCCCGCTATAGCCCACACATACACACTTATCACCCCTTCTGTGTCCTCTTGTATTCCCCGAACAATTCTATCATCCACCGCTTGATGTCGTGATTATGTACGATGTGGACAGCATGCGACAATGAGGTCCCCTAGGAGATTGCATGACAGGCAGTTACGGTGAAGAGGGAAGGGATGATAGTGTCACCGCACTCATCCCTCCCTAGAGGCCCTAATGCACTGGCATGTTCACACATTACCATGCCCCCATCCTCCCATGTTTACCTGCTGTGGCAGCGGCTGCCAGCATCTTCGCAACTGCCTCACTGGCTTCCGATACCAGCACATGCAACACATCGTTCGTGCTTGCCAGCTGGTTTCCACCGCTGAGAGCTGTCAGACCGCATCGCATGAGGGCCATGGGTATCTTCATGTGGGTCCCAATGGTAACGGTGCGTTGCTTGAGTGCATCCATGGCTGGTTTGTAAGGATGTTCATCGGGTACGATGCCGTTCTCCTGGTCGGGGCCCTCATGATGGCGGAATGGGTGTTGGGGTGTTGGTTCCATGATGTAGAATGGGAAGATAAGTTAGAATTGCTGGGAAGGGAATGGTGTGTGTGCATGGATGTGAATTGTTTTACTGAAGGCGAAGGGGAATGTTAGAGCGTTGGGTAGGGGAATGTCTCACGAATGTGAGAGTGCAGGACGTCCTGGAATGTGAGAGTGCGACCAAGAGGGCATGTTAGAGTGCGAGCAGGAGGGAAGGTGAGAGTGCGGCGTAGGACGGAAAGTGAGTGTGCAGGAGGAAATATGTGACTGCGAGACCAGATGGAAGGTGAGAGCGGGGTCGTATGGGTATGTGAGAGTGCCCCACAACCAACGAATGTGAGAGTGCTGGACACAAGGGAATGTGAGAGTGCTGGACACGAGGGAATGTGAGAGTGCTGGAGACAAGGGAATGTGATAGTGCTGGACACAAGGGAATGTGAGAGTGCTGGACACAAGGGAATGTGAGAGTGCTGGACATAAGGGAATGTGAGAGTGCTGGACACAAGGGAATGTGAGAGTGCTGGACACAAGGGAATGTGAGAGTGCTGGACACAAGGGAATGTGAGAGTGCTGGACACAAGGGAATGTGAGAGTGCTAGACAGGGGCGAATACGAGGGTGCGGCCCAGGATGGAGTGTGAGAGTGCGAAACAGGAGGGAATGTGAGAGGACGGGGACGCTGGAAAGACAGGGAGTGTGCTGGTGAGACGACCCTAGCTCATGGGAACGGGATGCCACCAGAGATGTGAATGCTTCCCCTGCATGGCATGAGGGATCGTGGGACTGCAGGGTCGGGGATTGTGCGGGAGCAGGGCATGACAGCTTGAGACTATGGGGCAGGAGGGTGGGTGAGAGTGCAATGTACTTCATGTGAGAGTACTCGATAGGGGAATGTGGGCGTGAACGGTAAGGGGATGTGGCAGTGAAGGGTAAGGGGATGTGGGAGTGAACGGTTAGGGGATGTGGGAGTGAAGGGTAAGGGGATGTGGGAGTGAAGGGTAAGGGGATGTGGGATTGAAGGGAAAGGGGATGTGGGTTTGGTGGGTAAGGGGATGTGGGAGTGACGAATAGGGGATGTGGGCTTGAAGGGTAAAGGGATGTGGGAGTGAAGGGTAAGGGGATGTGGGAGTGCAGGGTAAGGGGATGTGGGAGTTACGAATAGGGGATGTGGGATTGAAGGGTAAGGGGATGTGGGAGTGAAGGGTAAAGGGATGTGGGAGTGAATAGTAAGGGGATGTGGGAGTAAAGGGTAAGGGGTTGTGGGAGTCACGAATAGGGGATGTGGGAGTGAGGGTCAGGGGATGTCGGAGTGAAGGGTAAGGGGATGTGGGATTGGTGGGTAAGGGGATGTGGGAGTGACGAATAGGGGATGTGGGATTGAAGGGTAAGGGGATGTGGGAGTGAAGGGTAAGGGGATGTGGGAGTAAAGGGTAAGGGGATGTGGGAGTGCAGGGTAAGGGGATGTGGGGGTCACGGTGAGGGGATGTGGGATTGAAGGGTAAGGGGATGTGGGAGTGAAGGGTAAGGGGATGTGGGAGTAAAGGGTAAGGGGTTGTGGGAGTCACGAATAGGGGATGTGGGAGTGAGGGTCAGGGGATGTGGGAGTGAAGGGTAAGAGGATGTGGGATTGAAGGGTAAGGGGATGTGGGAGTAAAGGGTAAGGGGATGTGGGAGTAAAGGGTAAGGGGTTGTGGGAGTCACGAATAGGGGATGTGGGAGTGAGGGTCAGGGGATGTGGGAGTGAAGGGTAAGGGGATGTGGGATTGAAGGGTAAGGGGATGTGGGAGTAAAGGGTAAGGGGATGTGGGAGTGCAGGGTAAGGGGATGTGGGAGTCACGACTAGGGGATGTGGGAGTGAGGGGTAGGGGATGTGGGAGTGAAGGGAAAGGGGATGTGGGAGTGAAGGGTCAGGGGATGTGGGATTGGTGGGTAAGGGGATGTGGGAGGCACGACTAGGGGATGTGGGAGTGCAGGGTAAGGGGATGTGGGAGTGACGAATAGGGGATGTGGGAGTGAGGGGTAGGGGATGTGGGAGTGAAGGGTAAGGGGTTGTGGGAGTGAAGGGTAAGGGGATGTGGGAGTAAAGGGTAAGGGGATGTGGGAGTGCAGGGTAAGGGGATGTGGGAGTCACGAATAGGGGATGTGGGATTGAAGGGTAAGGGGTTGTGGGAGTGAAGGGTAAGGGGATGTGGGAGTAAAGGGTAAGGGGTTGTGGGAGTCACGAATAGGGGATGTGGGAGTGATGGGTAAGGGGATGTGGGAGTGATGGGAAAGGGGATGTGGGACTGAAGAGTAAGGGGATGTCACCGTGCAGGGTAGGGGAATGTGGGTGTGAATGGTAGGGGAATGTGGTAGTGACGGGTAGGGGAATGTGGGAATCAAGGGTGGGGGTTGTGTGTGTGAAGGGTAGGGGAAGGTGAGAGTGCAAGCACGGGGAATGAGATAGGGCAGGTTAGGGGATTGTCACAGTGCTTGGTAGGGAAATGTGAGAGGGTAGGGTAATGGAGTTCGAGTGAGGAGGGTGGGGAACGGCCAAGTGCGAGTAGTGGGTATTTGAGCATGGGAAGGAGGCAAATATGAGATAGGGTTGGGGCGGTGTGAGTGTGCTGGCTTTGTGAGTGCCCGTTTGCGTGTTATCTGTATGTGAGATTGCCCATGTGGTGAATGTGTGGCCAGGCTGGCTAAGGGAATTTGTGGCGCGCTACGCTACAGCTCCCACTCGCCTTTAGACGTGTGATGGCCACTTCATGCCACAGCGCATGCTGGCCATCCCTGCACAGCGCATGGGTCTCATGATGTCCCTGTTCGTGTGCATTTCCGCTGGCCTCCCCTTCCCCGCACTGCCCTGTCCATTCGCGGCGCTGCCCTCATATGCGTGGGGCGTCCCTGGTTTGCGCGGCGCTGCCCTCTAATGCGCGGCCCTGCCCTCATATGCGCGGCGCTGCCCTCGTATGCGCCGCGCTGCCCTCCTGTCTGCGGCGACGTGGGATTTTTGTTTGCGCTGTCAAGATATGGGCGTCGCTATGCTTTTCCTACGCGGCGCTGGCCTGTTTTGCGCGCCGTGTTGTCAAATGCGTGCAGCACTTCCCGTTTTGAGGCTACTAATGTCCGAGATCAACCCTGCATCGCCCTTTTTGCACGGCTTCCACGCTTGTTGTGTCACCGTTTTTCGCTATCTCGCATCCGTAATGCTTGTCTGGCGCGATATGGGAACTCATCCTGCTGCATGGCGTAAGCTCATGCCAATGTGTCGGACCCTGGTCGCGGACTCCGTGTGTGGCGGTCCTTTGAGCTGATGTACCCCCGACTATAGGCGTGGTCGACCATGGCTCGTCGTGTCGTCGCGTACCTGCACGTGGCCCTCGTGGGAACCTTGGTTTTCGTTCCTAGGGCGAAGGTGGGATGACCCGTGTGCATTGCGCCTACGGCGCCTCCCGTCTCGCATTGTTGGCAGGGCGCCTCGGAGACGACGATTTCTAATGTGTTTATTGCGCGGGGTAGTGGACAAAACGTGTGCGCGTCGGGCTGGTCGTTGGTAGTTTATGAGCGTGGGGTGCTGTGCTAACCGCGTGTGAGGTGGCGTGATTGCTATCGAGGAGTCATAGTCGTAGTCTCATGTAAGGCGCTGCTTGTTGTGCAGTTGCATTTGTGAGTGGGAGTGGCGTGGTGTGTTTGCGACCAGTTGGTTGTTAGGGTCAGTCGCTTGGTGTGTTTTGTTTGTCGCAGGGTAGGTTTCTGTCGTTCCAACCAAACCGTGTTTTCGGTTTGAGTCACACAGTAACCACTCCCGCCAAGTGCTTTGCAGTTGACCCCAAACGCTCTACTTGAGACCCTGGCTTTAACTTTGTAGGCTCTCCATTGCTGGATTGTACTGTACCTCGGTAAGCTTTCCCTTGGTCGAATGTAAGGTATTGTTACGGGTGCAATGAATCGAGGTAGCGAGAATTGCACTAAGGTGTCAAACGAGTACAAAATGTGAGCGAAGGCATGAGCGAGCATTTATACGCGAAACATGCAAAACGGTAACGCGGTGCGTGCGAACTTGCTAGTGCTACGCTGGAGCGAGGCTCGGGCTAGTCCCGAAGCGTAGGCCGATACGGCCATGCCAGCAGTGCGAGGTTTGGCAAAACAGTGCGCGCGAAGTCGGCGAAGTTCCGTTAGCAGTAACGGGCGAACAGTCGGCTGTTGCTGTACGCGATGTAGTCGGCTCCGTAAGGAATGCCTGAGAAAATTCCTTACACTACCCCCCCCCCCTTAAGAAGCCCCCTCCGCTACGCGAGTGCGTGTATATCGCGGAATCCCCGGCTTCTCAAGTACACTTGCAGGGCAGGGTGATTTTCGATGTTGCTCAGGGGCACCCAGCTATCTTCAGTTGGCGTGCGGTCTTTCCAGCGAACGAGGAATTCAATCCTCCTGATTCCCGTGGGGTGGCGGATCCGATGGCTCAAAAATTTTTCGGGCTCGATGATCGGCTCTGATGCAGGGCGAGTCATTGATTGTGGCCGGTGACGCGGCAGTTGACTCGTGGTCGGGATGTATGGGCGAAGTAGGCTGACGTGGAACGAAGGGCTGATGTACCAGTCAATTGGCAACAGTAGGTGCGCGGTGACGGGTGTGATCATGTGACTGATTTGGAATGGTCCACAGTAGCGCGGTCGTAATTTCGGTACGTCGGGCAGTCGCAGATTTTGCGTGTCGAGTAGCACGTAATCGCCAGATTGATACGTGACGGGGCGGCGGTGGCGATCAGCGTTGCGCTTAGCGATGACGTTGGCCTTTTTTATTGCTTCGGCGGCTCTGGCGCGGGCAGCTTGCAGGATTTCGGCGAATTGTTGTGCGCGTGGCGTTGGGTTGTCCGGACTCGGCGTCATGGGCACTGTGGGGTTCTGCCCATAGTTCAGGTAGAACGGGGACTGCTGCGTCGTGGCTGATGTGGCGTTGTTGTACGCGAACTCGATCAGCGGCAGCTGCTGCTCCCAGGTCGTGGGGTCGTCGCACGTGGCACGAATCAACTGCTCC